TATATATATTAAACTGCTGCTCTATTAAAATAATCAGAGGAAACCGACTACAGCTGACAGGTGTGTTTTATAGGATGTTATACAACAAGTAGCCACTAGAGGGAAGCAAAGGCACGAATATGAATAAAGCCAGGAGGTGCCATCTGTTWCTAGCTGTGTTTAAGTAACATGTAAAACCACAAATGTGACTATTCACTGACAAATGAGTATCAACCACCAATGAGAAAAAACAACTCTGCTAATGATAACTTTCCACAGACTGTTTTATTAAAATCTCCACTCTTGTTGAACACCAAGCAGCAGAAGAGTGAGGTTTCACAGCAGCTCCCCAGTCCCTCCTGCCAATCTAAACTTCATTAAGCTGATTGCTCGTCTGCGTTAAGCTACTTGCTTCGCCTGCTAGTTCCGTCTGCCTGCCTGGCCCCTCTCTCTGCATGCTGTTCTGATTAAAGAGGAACCTTGTAAACGCGCTGCCCGCCTATAAACSATTTCCTCATCACATCAAAGTCACACGGAAGTTTTAAGCCACTTTTACAACGGTAACAAAGCCAGGGCTGCACACTTACAAATCTCACCCTGCAGCTCTGAGAACACGGGCCCTAAACTAGACAGCTGGGGGCCAAGATTTGGCTAATTCAAAGCCAGGTTAACAGTGGTTGTTAAGAAGTTTTATTAAAGCAGGAAGAGCGTAGCTCTGCGGAGGCATAAGCAGCATTTTAGCTGATCTTAATTATGTGGCAATGTAGGCATTCAACCAACTTCCCACGAGCAAAATGGAAGAAGAATATGGGCTATTACCAGTTAAATAAGCAGTTAAAACCACTACTTTTAGGCTAGAAGTAAAATTACTGTTGATTGCATAAGCTGCAAATTCTATTACCTCTAAATTAATGCCGAGAAAACAAATCAGCAGGAAAACACGTTTCATTTCGTGCAAATAAATTTCAGCAGCTAATTGGGCTTTACAAAAGGGAACAGGTTTAACGAGCGTGTGGCACGACAGCTCGGTGATGACGGGAACTTGTGAAGTCGGATGATTTACGGCCACCGTTTGTGGAATGCTAAACATCGCCTTGAACTGACCACTGTCTGATGGGAAACACAGACACACAATTACACCACGTGTTTTTACATGTAACACACACACACAAAAAAGAAGCTGCATCTTCCAATGTGCTGATTAAGAAACAAATATCAGTTCTCGGCTTCCTGCTTTGATATAAATACATCCCACTCGAGCTTTGCCGCTTTATTCTTTATAAAAAGTCATGTTTTTGTATGAAACAATCTTTCATTTCAGAAAATAAAACACGAATGTGAAAAATATATAGATTTAAACTGCATAGAAGAACGTAGTTCTATATAAATACACATTTGGTCACAATTTTGTATCGTATTTTTTATAATCTATCATAAATACATAAGGCATTCATTTTTCCAGCATTATATTTTGTAGGTAATAAATATGTATTAATGTGTTGTAAAGGTAAAAAAGTTCAACCTGAACTTGACCTCCTTTTTCTTTAAAGGCAATAACCTTTCAGAAACTTGTTTTATCTGGCCTGAGTAGATGAAACTCGAGTTCGTTCACACACACGTTGATATTAAGGCTGTTTTTCACAAGGCACTGAGTGTGATCAGGAACAGAGCACTTGAGTCTGTGTTTTGGTGCGAGTTCTTGCCCTGATCCGGCCCTGCAGATGTAAACAAGTGAAGAGTCTAATTAAAGAGGTCTAAATTGATTTGAAGCGCTGTGAACGATGGACRTCTTGTGCGTAGGAAATATGTGATGAATGGATTTGTTTAAAGGGATCCCTGATTAGTTGTAACATTAGACTTTATTTGATAAACATATATTTTAACTGTAAAATAAAGACTGTAAAAATACTGTAGGCTGTTTAGTTTTGTAAATTTTTAAAAATATATTTTAACACGGACGGAGCCATTTTATTTACACGCAAAGCATTCTGGGTAAATGATGACATGGATAGGTCATTGGTGTGAGCGAGCTATATCCACCCTGAAGGTTAATCTTGGACAATATCTGATGATCGACTCTTTTAAATGAAACCAGAGAGCGCTGACAGAGAGGAGAAGGTAGAAATGACTCAGCCTGKAACTGAAAATATGGATGGAGGACAACAGAGCTGCTTCATGGAAGAAGAACCTCAGCATAGCCTGTTAGTCTTTGTGCTCGCACTGACGCTATATTGCCTTATATGTATTAGCTCGGAGCTACGCGACAAACAAGCTAAACTGAGGTCCTCCATCCATATTTTCAGTTCCAGGCTGAGTCATTTCTACCTTCTCCTCTCTGTCAACGCTCTCTGGTTTCATTTAAAAGAGTCGATCATCAGATATTGTCCAAGATTAACCTTCAGGGTGGATATAGCTCACTCATACCAAGGACCTATCCTCGTCATCATTTACCCAGAATGCTTTGTGTTTAAATAAAATGGTCCCGTCCGTGTAATATATTTTTTAACTTTTAGTTTAAAATTTATAAAAACTAAACAGCCTACAGTATTTTTAGTCTTTATTTTACAGCTAAAATATATGTTTATTAAATAAAGTCTAATGTTACAACTAATCGGAGATCCCTTTAAGAAAAAAAAAAGTCAAGTGCACATCTTCTGTGTCCGATGGTATTTCCATTTTTTTATGATAAGTGGTACATGCTGTAGCCCAGAGGAGAGGTGTACAGTCCCAAAGGTGATACGGGCAGAATGGGTCTGTGGTAGTGATAGGCAGAGTACGACTGTCCATACAGAGACATGGTGCCCAGAGACAGCGGCAACGTAAAGCTCGGATGTAAAGCTCCAGCAGCGGCAGCAGTGGCCGTCACCGCCGCYGTTTTGGCGTCAGCGGCCATCTTGAGTTTCTCCAGCTCGGCCTCCTGGAGCCGCTTTGCTTTCGCCCTGCGGTTCTGGAACCAGATCTTCACCTGGGTCTCCGTGAGGGTCAGGGAGGACGAGAACTCGGCCCGCTCCGCGATGGACAGGTACTGCTTCTGCCTGAACTTCCTCTCCAGAGCCAGGAGCTGGGACGTGGTGAAGGGSGTGCGGGGCTTCCGGTTCGTCTTGTGCTTCCTCAGCTGACAGGCGGGATTGACGTGACCTGAAGCAGATTGAAGGATTGTAGAAATTTAATTAGATCTGTAAGAAGACTAATTACTTTAACACAATCTAAGTGGATAAAGTTTAAATTCTGAGTCGACTGATGAGTTCAAGCTATAGAAAACAGGGCAGCTACTGGTCGGTATAAAACAGCTTTTTCATTTGASATAATATAAAAATAACAGTTTAACAGAAATAAGCTTATATAGAGCATTTTCCCTAAAATAAAACWTGTTAAAGCAGCTGAATATGCATTAATTTTTCTACTTGATAATTGATGGTGATTGCCTTTTAAAAACATGGCCAATATCCATCAATAAGTAGTCTATAAAAGGAAAACTCTTTTAAAGTGGCCAGCCAATAAAATTAAACAGATAATTAACAGGTGTGTCTACTGCTACTATAATTATAGCAGCTGGGTAGAAAAACACAATCAGGCTGTACAGTTTACCTTATGTGACTAATAAATGATAAATATCACCTCATTTAAACTTTCCTTAGAGATGCTCCTCAGTAAAAAATAAAGTTAAAAAGTTATATATGACTTTAACAAGCTTTAAAGTTTGACTTTATTCAAGCAACTTACGTGTTTGAGGTGAAAAGGTGTTGCCAGCAGCAGCAGCGGCCCACGAAGCTGCGCAGTCCTCCGCCTCACATTTGACCGGAGACCGAGGCGCCGCCGGGACGCCGCTCCGACTTTCCCCAGCAGGACYGCGCGTCTCCCGGCGCAGATACAGAGAGCCCAACCCCGAACTGCTGGTTCTACAGCAGGCGGACTCTCCGCCGCGGCTGTCCGTCTTCCTCCCGGACATGAGCGCCTCCACGCTGAACGGGTGATGCCGGCGGACCGCGGCAGGTTTCCTCTCCTCCTCCTCCGACAGCAAGTCCGCGCGGTTACTGTCCTCCTCGGACGAACTGCAGCCCGGGTCGGTAAAAGTCCCCCGAGAGGCCATGTCTCCTCGACCCGGACAGTAACCTCAGGGCTCGGTCAGGTGTCTCTCGGGTCGGTGAGTGAACTGTTTGGAGCTGTCAGGTATCTGAAGGGATGTTTGGAGACGTAGCACGTCGTCGCTGCTCGACTCTGACCAATCAGAGCCGCCCTTTGCGCGTAAACTCGTGCTGCTTTTAAGGACAGTAGGAAACTGGAGCGCCCTTTGAAAGAGGACACTGCCAGGCTGAAAGTGTTCCTTAAACCAGYGGTTCCCAAACTTTTTGTCTTCTGACCCACAAAATATCCATGGCAAAAACTTGTGACCCCAAATATCACTGGTCTGAGTACACAAACTTCATTAATAACCCTAAAAA